ATAATCGAGTTGTTTCTATCTTTAGCCAGTGTTCTCTTTGTGGATAAAAATCTTATCTCTTTGTGGATAAATAAAGTCTTCTGTCATCGACTGACAAAAGCAGACGCCCTCAGAGTCTCTCTTTACCAACTCGTTGCGATCAATAAGGAAAAACGAGGACAAAACAAAACAAAACAAAACAAAACAAAACAAAACATCAAAACAAAACAAAACAAAACAAAACAAAACAAAACAAAAAGGAAACGAAATGCTCACTTCTCGCTCGACATGCGTTAATCCTTGAGAGACTGTCGCCAACGTCGACTTCTTAATCTATCTCAATCAACCCTGCTTCACGCCTCTCTCTCTCTCTCTCTCTCTCTCTCTCTCTCTCTCCTGTCTCTTATACACACCTATATGTGTATAAGAGACAGCTCTCTCTCTCTCTCTCTCTCTCTCTCTCTAGCTTTTTTCTTCGCTTTTCGTGTACGTATCTGTGATTCGTGCCGGGGAAGGAATTTTTGTCGTTTAGTGGTTTCGTTCTCCAACCGTCACGGATTTCCTACGAACCTTATCCGATACAGGTATCTGCACCTGTGCGCGATATGTGTATCTATGCATGTATGCGACTCGTGTATGTGTACATGTATAATATCTGATATATATGGAGAGAGAGAGAGAGAGAGAGAGAGAGAGAGAGAGAGAGAGAGAGAGAGAGAGAGAGAGAGAACATCGCCTAGGAGTATTCAACGCATTACTTTCAGTGCGTGAGTGTGTTTGTATGTGTGGATCTTATACATTTCGATCTTTTTTTTGTAACGTCGTTTTGCTATTGAAGTACATAACTCGTTCTTAGTTTGTAACGAGAGCTATACGCTTTGTCTATACCCCCTCCTATGTACACCTTGTCTATACCCCCTCCTATGTTTTCTTTGAATCGTCGTTTTTTTTGCTATTGAAGTACATAACTCACTCCTTGTTTTCATAGCCAGCTACACCCTTTTGTCTATATACCCATAGCGTACAATCTATATAACGAACTTCTGTTCTATAGCCAACTATAGGCAATCCCATTTCTCTCTCCACCTGCTACGCTGCAAGCTCTACTCCTCCTAGTCCATGCACCCATATGCTCTACAGTTGCTTCTTTTTTTTTCTTTTTTTTTTTTTGGAAATCGATCAGCCCATTACGATGCGCCACTCTCAGTCGATTCGCAAAAGCGTGCGAAAATAAAATATACTGAAATGAACTTGCCAATTGAATAGGGCCCGCCCATTTTTTTTTAATTAAAATATCAACATTTTAATTTCGTCGAAATATATCCCGTGCTCACCTCATTCCCAGCGCAGCCTCTTACGATCAATAGAGTGTATAGCATTCTCCCCCCCCCCCCCCCCCCCCCCCCCCCCCCCCCCCCCCCCCTTTTTTTTTTTTTTTTTTTTTTTAATCACAAAATTCAAGTATTGCGATAATAGGTTATAAAAGTCTAGTACAGTACGAACCCGGCTGTACTGGAAATCGATCCACTAGTGGGTACTAGATATTCTAGTCTGGCATAGCACTAAATTAAATTCAGCTGTGCTAGAAAAAACAGGAAAAGGAGGGCGCAATAGACTGGAGGAAGGGGGGGGGGGGGGGGGGGGGGGGGGAATGCATGAAAAGGATGAAGAAATCCAAATATTGAAAGAGACTGGGAAAAACAAACAATCGAACAAACAAACAAACAAACAAACGGAAAAAAAAAAAAAAGGCAACAGAGAAAAGAACAGATCATAAAGAAGTCATCAAACGGGTACTTAGTGTTGACGTCATCTTCGGTTATTATGGATCAAAACGCGGAGCGAAAGATCCCAGCTTTACATTGAAATAATCTGGACCGACAACGAATATTAGTAAATCCTAAGT